GTGGCCTCTCTGAGAGCACAGACCCAGGTGGCCCCCTGCGTGGACAGGGACTCCCTGCCCTTGGGTGCTGGGGCTTGTAGTTGGGGCTGTGGACACCCAGGAAAAGGCTCTTCTCTGGGGAAATGACTTGTCCAGAGAAAACCAAGAGCATTTTCTGCATTCCATAGAAATGCTTACAAAGAAAAAGGATCTTGAGTGGTTTGTTTTTTTTTTAACAGAACCTTTGTTTATATACAAACATATATCATTGTATCATGCATTATGCATTTATTATATAACATATTTTTTAAATTTGTATTATGGAAAATTTCTCCAATATGTATATAAAAGTGAAGAAAATAGTGAACCCCACATGGCCATTGCCAGTGGCATATCCCGTTTCATCCCCAGCCCTATCCACTCCCTCCACCCACCCCGCCCCCAGCATCTTAAGCAAATCCAAGACATCATTTTATTTCAAATGTAATTATTTTAGTATGTATTTCTAAAAGATGGAATTAAGAACACACACAGGACCACAATACTATTACCCCTGTCAATGTTTTTAAAAACCAAAGTTTATTCGCTCTTTCCAATTGTAGAAATAATACTTGCTTATTGGAGGAAATTTGGAAAGTAAGGAAAAGTTGAAAGAAAAATTCATTCATAAGCTCAGAACCCACAGATGACCTCTCTTGAGGTGTGGGTGCTTACTTCTCAGTGTCTTTTCTGTGCAGGAAGACACACACGGGTGAACCCCCAGACCCCTGTATTTGGGATCAAGCCGTGTTTTTGTATCCTGCTTGTTTGCTTAGTTCTCTACCAGGCCCATCATGAACAGTTCCCCACGTCATTAAGTCTTTAAAGACTCCCTTTTGAATGACTTCAGAATTTCTCACAGTGGCTGGCTGTGCAAGGCCTGCCTTATTTGTACCTGGAGCACATCTAACTTTCCCTGGCCCAGGGCTCCTGCCCTCACCTGTGAAAACGTGTCTCTGGATCTTTGGGGCCCAGACAGGTGAAGCCAGGCAACCCTGGGCCCAGGGAGGTGGGCAGCAGCCTCAGCCGGCAGCCTGACTGCCCCCTCTGGGCCAAGCACACACAGCTGTCATCCTGCCTGAACCCCCGAGGCCCAGATCACTCACCTGCAAAGGGGATCCTCCCACCCACCTCCTAGAGCTTTGGCAAGGATTCAGTGAAGCACCTGGCACCCAGAAGCCCACAGTTGTGCAGGCCAAGCTGTGCTCAAAGCTGCTTTATCTCGGCCTGCCTTTCATGCCCCCTGGCAGTGGTTCCTAAATGATGCCCACCTCAACCACCTGGGGATTGTTCAAAGCTGCTGATGGCCCACTCCCAGACATTCAGATTTGGGGCGCAGGGTAAAACCTGAGCAGGGCTCCCAGGTGTTCTAATGTGCAGCACAATTTCTGCTTTGGGTAAGTGTTCACCAACCCCCCAGCCCCAAGTTGTCCCCATTCTAGGCAGCAGTCATTGATGCCTGAAAATCTAAAGCAAGTCCCCCTAATTTTGTCACTAAGCCTGGTTAAATGCCAACACCCCAGAGCAGTCGTGGGATTAAGCCCACTATCGACGGGCTGGTTTCTTGCTCTTTGGGGTCCTTTCCAATGTAGTAAGTAGCTAAGGGCAGGCCTCGCTGGAATTGGGGAAGAGGCCTTGGCCACTGAGGTCAGAGCTGTGACACCTGGGCCTCGGGCAGGGCTTGTAATGGAAGGAAGAGCAGGGCGGCCCGAGGTGGGTCCCTGAGGTGAGCAGGGAATTTGCACTGCAGAGACCTTGCTCATGGCTCATGGTTCTCCGCACACCTATTAGGCTCAAATCCTGCATCAAGGCTGTAGTCCCTACCCTGGCAGGGCTCCATGCCCGGATCCCAGGGGGCACCATTGGGCAAACAGGAGATCCTGATAGCGGGAGGCATAGGCCGCACCACACCAGGGAACACGAATCGGATGTGGAGGCCCCCGCCCCAGGAGATGCATTCACCTGTCCCTTAGCAGGGAGGTCACGCCCACGGCTGGCTGAGTGCACACAGGCTTATTCTGACCACACATCGGCACACTTATTTTTCAGTTTGAATAGTTGGCCATGTTTAAACATCTCCAGCTTATCTTTTTTTTCCTTTAAATATTTCTTTGGGGGAGGGACACCACTCTTCTACTCAATTGAAAACAACATTTTGAACAGAACAAAGGTCTTTTGTTTCTTTACACCTGTCATGCCATGAGCTCCCAGGTAGGGGGCTCCCTCGGCCCAGGCTCCCTTGTGTTGGTTCTCACCGGGAGCTGCTCTGGGCGGAGCAGCCACCTCAGTTGAGCCCAGGCACCTTTTTGTTTGGCTTCCTTCTTGTTCTGAACATTTTCCTTTACGTTTCAGGAAGCTCTCTCGCTCTTGGAGGCTTGATATGCTCAACTCCTACTTTCATTCTCTTGCCCTTGTGTGTTTGCAATGCCCACGCTTGCTGGGTGATGCTGCAACCCTTCTTTTTGCCCTGGGAACATCCGTGGGGCATCCTTTTTGAACAGTGCCCTTGAAGGCAGCAGCATCACCTTTCTCATAGATTCGCATGTATGTGGCCCAAGGAGCAACTTCGTGTTTTCTAAGAGAACGTGTAGCAGGGCCTCTCTTTCCCTTTGTGTTAGTCATTTTGGCGAGTTACGGGAAGATGGCGGTTCCGGTCGGAAGGCCCAGCTTGTCTTGAACTTGAGCCCACTCAGGGCCCAGGGTGTCACATGAATGGCCCCAAGCCCTCCTCCAAGTGCTACTACCCCCTGCTTCTCCCAGGTGGCCCCCCTGACTAATCAGGTGGCTGGCCTTCCCCATGCCCTGTGAGAGCCCTTACTTCAGTGTCACTGATACCACATGTGCAAGGTCTACGCTAGACACTGGGGACAACAAATGAAAGGAACCCTGTCCTTGCCCCCAAGGAGCTGTCTGTGCTGGTGACACAGCACAGACAGAAGAGGCAGCCCATCCCCCTTGCGGTGAGGGGTGTGAGAAGGCTCTGGAGCACTCCGGGGGGGGGGGGGGGAGATGGGGGGAGCCTGGGCTGGTGATGGAAGAGCTGAGGAAGAGGTCAGAGGGAGGCGAGTGCTGGGCACTAACCTGCTGCCCTGTCCCTCCGCAGGGCCTGGTGGTGGCCGTCCTCTACTGCTTCCTCAACGGGGAGGTGAGTGCTCGGGCTGCCTAGCGCCTGGAGGGGGCTGCCAGTCACTGGATTCCAGGTCAGAGCGAGCTGCCTGGAAAGGGTGGTGGGGTGTGGGCAGGGCAGGCTGGGGTGTCCGGACTTGGGCCTGTCTTCACGAGTCTGAGTCACTTTATGGGAGCAACAGAATCACCTGGAAGGCTTGGTAAACAATTGCTGGGCCCTACCCCCAGTTTCCAGTCAGCAAAAATGGCCTGGGTTGGAGCCTGGGATGCTTTTAACAAGCATTACAGCGGATGCTTATCCTGGGAAAGTCAGGAAGTGGAGGAGAGTGCAGGCACCCCCCTGAAGCCGGGCTCCAGGCTGGACGATGACCTGTCACTGCCTCACTGAGCTTCAGTCTTCCCATCTGTAAAATGAGTAACTCAAATGACACTTCTGCCAACTCAAAGGCTCCCAGTGGCTATTGACTCCTTGGGGCCTGCTCGCGTACCTTGAGGCCTGTGCCCTGACCCAGCATTTGGGTCAGGACATGAGGTTCCTGGCACACAGAAGCTGGTAATCACTAGTGAACACGGCATGGCACGCAAGTCAGGCCTTTCTGTGACTGCTGGCCATCTGTCTGCTTTGCACACTCTAATGGGGATAACTTCCGGCGTTTCCCCAGAATGAGCCACCAAGCCCAGCCTCAAAGATTCGGCTGCTACAGTGGGTTCATGGGGGAAATTTCCAGAGCAGCTCTCTGTCCCTCAGATTAGCTCTGAGCTAGGGTGGCTTCCTGGGAACGTGTCCTGTTCCGTGGGATGATGTGGATGTTGGTGTCCTGGAGCTAGTGTGACAACGACAAGCCCTTCAGGACATTTGTAGTGAGATGGCAGGTGATCGTGCCCAGGGAAGGGCCCTTAGTACCCCCTGGACATCGGGGTTGGAGCTGGTCAATCTGAGTGGCCTGCAGGAGGTGGGGAGGCATGACTCCTGGGCAGGAGTAGCAGGACCGTGCAGAGGCCCCAGGGGGTGAGCAGGACTCTAGGCCCCCGGCCCTTCTTGCTGTTCCCTCCTGGGCTGATGGCTGGTCTCCGGGACAGGTGCAGCTGGAGATTCAGAAGAAGTGGCGGCAGTGGCACCTGCGTGAGCGTCCACTGCGCCCCATGGCCCTCAGCAACTCCTCTAGCATCGGCACCAGCAGCCTCACCCACAGCACCAAGGCCAGCCCCTCGGAGCCGAGCCGGGGCACCTGCAGGGCCAGCGTCATCTGAGAGGTCGGAGCAGGGCCACCGCGGACATAGGCCACGCTGGGTCCTGAGAGAGCAGGACACTGCTTCAGGACCGCCCACCTCCCCCCAGGCAGCATATGCTTTCTCCTGCGACTAGTGACCTCTTCTCCAGGCCCTGGGGTGGAGGGTGAGAGTCCCTCAGAACGCAACAGAAGGAACCTGGGCAGCATGGGACAGGGAGTGGGAGAGCAGCTCAGCGGTCTGAGAAGGGAGGAGGAAAATAAATGGGAACCGAGGTGAGGTTTGGTGTGGTCAGTCTCCTTGTCCTTGAGACAGGTGAGGGAGGATGCTCTGGTCCACTCCCTACTGCTTCCTGGAGGAGGGGCTTCCCTGGTCCCCTGCTCGTTTTCAGGGACAAACTTAGAAGCTCCGGAAACATGAGACATCACGGTCCTTGGCCCCAGGTGGACCCTCCCTGCCCCTCACCTGTTCAGGATCTCTCATCCTAGAGCAGTGGTTCTCAACCTTGGCTGCACATTAGAAGCACCTGGGAATCTTTTTAAAATCCTGATTTCTGGGCCTCATCCTCCAGAAATTCTGTTTCTTTGTTACTAATGTTGTGGCCCCACCCCATAACAAACAGAATTTCCGGAGGATGAGGCCCAGAAATCAGGATTTTAAAGATTCCCAGGCGATTCTAATGTGCAGCCAAGGTTGAGAACCACTGTCCTAGAGCCTTCAAGATGACTGAATTAATCTGAGCAAGTCCCAGGGGAGGCCAGGACAGCCCCAGGACCCAGCTCCCCTTTAGTGGCCCTGACATGGCCTGAGGCATCCCTCCGCCTTACTGCCCTGTCAGTCAGTTATCCTGGGCCCCCAAGGCAGGGAGAGCAGGAGAGGGGGCATTATACCATTTGATAGGAGAGAAACAGGTTCACCCAGGCCCTGTGACTTGCCCAAACTACTAGGCCAGGAGGGGGCAGAAGCCCAGGCTTTAGGTCTCAAGTCCCCATGCTCCAAGGCTGTCTCCTTTACCAGGGCCTGTCTCCCCCTCCCACTGGGGATTTTAGTCTCACCCTTTCCTCTCTGGATCTCAGTTCCCTTGAATACCAACACTCCCTCCCCACCAGCCTTGTGAGGATTAAAGAGCACTCAATATTTAAACCCTTTTACAAAACAAAAACTACCAGTGCTCTCCGGCCCATGCATCTGGACAGAGTGGAGACCCCGCCCCCGACTGTAGAGAAAGAGCATCTTGCTGGTGAGGGGTCCAGCTCTAGTCCCGGCTCTGGGTGGCCCTGGGTGAGTGCTATCCCTCTCTGGCCCTGGCCGCCCACCTCTGCACCTCTGCACAGACAAGGTCACCCTTTGCCCCTTGCAGTCTGCTCCTGGTGAAGGCCAGGTGCCCACTTCCAGAGCTAAGAACCCAGCCTACACGGTTGATGAGCTCTGCCCTCCAATTACCGATTGGTCCACAATACCTTTCTGGAGCCATCTCCACAGACTGTGCATTTTGGAATAAAAGTTTTTAAAAAAACACAAGAGGTAGGTACAAGCACCCAGCCCAGCCCAGGAAGGGAAACTGAGTGACCAAAACTCATACACCCCGTGGCAGGCAGGGTGAGCCAGGGCAGGCCAGACTTCATTCGGCGGGGGAGCGGGAGGGCTGGGGTGGATGAAGTGGGCTGAGGGCACAAAGGCACTGGAAAGGAGGCCATTTAATGCCCCAAACACTGGTCTGCTGGTGAGATGGAAATCTTCGTTGGTTCCTGGTCCCCTTCACCTGCGAGCACCTTTAGGAGTTTAACCATCACCCAGGGTCCAGCAGCTGCTCTCTGAATGTGTTCTGGGATCAGAGATGGTGCACCTCAGGCTGCCTGATCCTCACCAAAGCTGGGCATGCACACTTGCCTCAGGGAGTGAGCGCTGCGCATTAGAAGTCAGGTGGACTTTTCTGGAAGGCTTGCTCCAAACTCTACTCAAAGAGGTCAGGCAGGAATCCCACAGGCAGAGCCCCCAGAGGAGACAGCCAGCCGCTGGAAGTGGGGGGTTAGAATCCCCAATGGGAGGGATTATAGAGTTCCCCAAAGGGCAGGGGTCGAATCAAGTAAAATGGTTTGAAAAACAACCAGGTGCAAGAAATCCTGAGGTCATCCTGAATTCTGCCTCCTTGGCATGACCAAAGCTAACGCAGAGGCGTGCCCAGAGGTCGCCTGAGTTGGTGGAAGTCCTGGGCTCGGCTGGACACCCTTAGTGGGAAGGCGATCCACTCTTAGCCACGGAAGAGGCCCCAGGGACCCTGCAGCTGGTCTCCCAGCACAGAGCCGGGAAGCAGGTGTGAACAGCACTTGGCTGCACAGCCAGCCCAGGCACCAGTTACCTGAGCTGCTTCCAACTCGATTCCCGTCCTGGGAAGGAGGATTCAAGAAAAGGATTTTACAATGTGTTCTACAATCTACATCCTAATAACTTGGCTACACTTGTGCAGTTGGTGGCCTGGAGGCAGGCTCCTGGCCTCTGGCCCTGGGCACAGGGCCCTGGGCCATTTCTGGCTGACCCCCCAAAGGTTACTGGGTAAGAGGCAGCAGTTCCAAGGTCATTGTCCCACCCCTACCCCCACCAGAAGTCACGTCTTGACCACTTTGTTGTGGAACCCGATGTCCTTGGAGGAGGGCCTAAAATTCCCTCAGCTGGCCCCAGGGATGGCTGATGCTGTTGACATGAAGGCCGCTGATGGCGTTCAAGAAGAGGAGGAAGGAGGCAGTGAACTGGCACCAGAACATGAGGGTGAAGCCGGTGAGCGTGACCTGGTTCCTGAGGAGGATCACAAAGCTCAGGAGCCCCGCAGAGGAGAGGACAAACGAGACGAGGAGCAGGACGCAGCCCAGGGCCCACTTGCGCCGTGAGTGGAGGTCCTCGCACACCTGAGACACCATGAGGAGCTCCAGGCCAAAAATGGCGGCCACCACGGCCAAGGCGCCTGTGCTGCGGGCCAGGACCATGCCTTCAGCCAGCCCTGGCACGCGGGCCCGACTCAGGTCTCTGAGGCAGTGTGGCCCAGTCTGGTTGGAGCTGGTGCAGAAGTGCCATAGCCCGAAGAGGCGGTCCCCAGCCAGGAGCCAGTGACCGTCACAGATGGAGACAGAGGAGAGGACCATGGCCAGCGCAGCACACACGATGATGAGCGTCCGGATGAAGGATTCAAAGAAGGACCGGCGCGGCCTCCGTTGGCCCAGCAGCCTCTGGGCCTGGAAGATACACAGAGGTGGCATGTCAGGGAGGGCCCCGCCACCCCTCCAACCTGTGCAGGGAGGACCCTGACCACGCCTCCACTTCCCACAGCCACGACTTCTGCTCAGTCCCCCACGAAGCCTGGAATATGGCCCTTACTCAGCCTCCTGCCCAGCTCCTCCTTCTTGGGGGACCTTTCCCCTTCTACCTGTTCCCCGTTCTCCATTTGAGACCTACACGCACTGTCAAGTCATTTACCGGGCCCGAAGGCTTCCCTGACTTTTCTTCAATGATCTTCATGAGGAAGGAATCCAAATTCTATTGGCTGGCGAATCCTACTCCCTTCTGAATTTGGAGAACCTGTCTGGCCTGGCTAGTGTGACCTTGAGCTTGCAGCTGGCCTGGGTTTCTTTATAAGCAAAATAAGAAAACTGCCTGGAAGGCTGAGGGTTGTAAAATCAGCGGAACATAATCCACGGCCGTTTCCTCTCTCGCCAGGACTCCCCCAGTACAGGTCCAGGTTCCTCCTCACCCCCACCCGCCCCTTCTGCACTTTCCACATTCTGCCCTGGCCGCCGTCCCATTAACTTTTTCCTCAGTGCTGACGGTGATGTTTGCACCTTGCCCTTCAGTCTTGCTCAGCCCCTCCCTGGACTTGCCAACCAGACTTTCTGTTCTAGCAGCTTCTGGGGGGGGGGGGGGCGTAGGGAGGGGAGGGGGAGCCCCTGAGGCTCTTCTTTAGCCTCTGGTTTCGGCACAGGTGTCCGCCCCCCACCCCCATCCCCCGCCCAACCTCTCTGACAAGCTGAGCCAGGTACCCAGTGAGGTGTCCCTTATCTCACAGCCCTCAGACACCACCCAGGTGCCATTCCCAACCACCAGCCCGGGAAGCAAAAGAAACACTTCAGAGTACATTCCTTGCCCAGCCCCCAGCGCTGCAGATCCGCCCTGTCTCCCTCTCCAGCTTGGCCCCAGTGGACTCCCCCTGGCCACCTCACTCAGGCACAGCAGCTCTCCCTCCAGGCCTAGGCCAAGCCTAGCACTTTCTTCCCTCAGACCTATTGGCCCTCCACCTGAAAGGATCTGCTCCAGTTGCCCCCATTCTCCGCTCTTCAAAAATGTCAGACACGTCTTTTCTGCCTACCGGGTCCCCTTCTGAAACTTCCCATCAGGCATCTGTTTTCTCCACTGTTCTGATCGCAAGTTATCCATTCCCTCCTGACTTGTATTACATATTATCTACCTTCCCATGAGAAACTACTATGTTCCTAGTACCCGGCACACTGGGTGTGCAAGAAGAGCCATGGGATAAGTGAATGGTCAAGTTTGCCACCACTGTCACTTCCACCTGAATCTGCCTTTAAACCCAAGTCTCCTACCAGGCAGTGTATGTCAAAGCAGCCCGGGTTACACACCACTTGGGAAGGTAAGCAAAGCAAGACAGCTCATGACAGCCGATGCTGGGGAACTGAACCGGGCAGTGGAGACACCCTGCACCAGGTGCAAAGGGAGGCTTCCAGAGGCAAGTGCAAGCCACACCTCTCAGCAAGGGACACCAAGCAAAGCCACGCTCCTGGCACAGTCCTGTGGTTAGAGACCTAGAAGAACATCAGGCTGGCTGCTAACTTGCAGAGGTGAGCAGGAGCTACTGCTAAGTTCAGTCCCAAGGTTACATGAACAAGGACCTCGCTGGCTTTCTGCACTTCTGCTTCGGCAGGGTCCTATTTTACTCCTAAACCTGTGAGGCTGGTAGAGTAGGAAGCTCCATGCAAGGAAAAAAACTGTCATGCAGAGGTCAGGTGACTTGCCCAAGCTCACGCACCTAAATCACAATAGAGCCTGTCACAGCTGCCCAGACGACTGATCGAGTGCAGAGGATGAGGTGCTCATAAGCACCAGCTGGGGCCTTCCCAGTGGAGGGCCTTGTGTTAGGGGCTCAGTAGAGAGTGCGGAGGGGGACCCAAGCTGTCAGGACAAAGGCAGCCTTGAGGCAGCAAAGAGCTCCCAGGCAGGAGCCTGGGCTGTGGTTCTCAAACTGTGTCCCCTGCTTCTGATGGGGGCTTTCAGGGGAGTAGGGGAAGCTGCCTCCGGCCCTTCCTCCCTCCAACTAACAGATCCATTACCGGCTGGAGACCGTGGGGATCCGGGGGTCTATATTGGGAAGCTTTAGAAAAACTGGCTGTGCTGCTAAGAAACAAACCAAGGAAACTGAAACCTCTGTCTACAAACTGGTCAAGGTGATTGTCCTTGGGCCTTTCTTAACCTCTTTGGCCCTTGTCCTCTCACCTACAAAGTGGAGCTGGTGACTCCCGCAGAGCAGCAGTGGCCATAAAGGCACCAGGCAAAGTCACACCCTGGCCTAGAGGTTGATAAGGTCCTTGGGTGGGAAAGCCCCAGGGGCAGAGAACAAGTCACAAGCACATGGGGCCCAGAAACCTCCTGCCCCTAGACATCACGCTGTCTGGGAAACAGGCACGTCCTGTCCCTCTCGGCCCCACCTGTCCTGAGCACAGGCTGGACTTTCAGCCCTCAGCTATCACACCGGGGTCAGAAAGAGAAGACAGCTGATGTCAGTTCATTCTTCCCCTCCCACTACAACGCAGTCAGCTCTCCCACCACCAGGAAAACTCCTGAGGATGAAAGGGATCGTGTATAGAAAAGAGCTTGGCACAGGTGCAGCCCCCACGTCACCCTCTAGTAACATTAGTAACAATAATAATGCACACGAAGTCTTCATTCCTAACCACCTGGCACCACACCGGCTTCTGGCCTGCCCACTAGTGACCCCGAGCCTGAACCCTCTCCTGGAGGCAGCGTGGGCAGTGGACGCCCGGTGGGTAACAGGAGGTGAGGGCAGTGGAGTTCTGCCCCTGTCCTGCCAGCCCCCAGCTGTGGGACCTTGGGCGACACGTTAATCTCTTAGAGCTTTGACATTCTTGGATAAAAATGGGCAAACCTTCCCCTTTATTCATCTGTAAGCCCAAATGAATGATTTCTTGTGACTCACAAAAGAGTGTCCCTTGACACTCCTGGGCCTTTGAGTCCCAGGCCAAGATCTTATAACCCAGGACCCCATCTGCTCCCATCAACACCCAAGTACGTAGGTACTTTGGGCTGCTCACTAGTAACTCTCCACATCCCCAACACAGCCTCCAAAATCTATCCTCCTGCCCTGGACCCCCATCATCACCAGCTGGAAATGTCAATAGCTTCCCTAAGCCTTGGCTTGCTGCCATCCCGGGAGCCACCCGAGTGGCTGGACATGCAGCCCCAGGAGCCAGCCAGCCTGCTCTGCAGCTGTGCTTGACCTCTGGCAAGCGATCCCCTCTCTTTCCTCAGCTATAAAGGGAGATCGCAGAGGCTACCTCCTGTGGTGGTTGCGGGCTGAAATGAGTCACCCCTCCAGGTGCTCAGAGCAGTTCCTGGCACCTTGGTTAAGCTCCTAAACCACAGTTGCCATAGTCATACAAGGCAGCACCCTCCTCCTCAGGGCAGCCTGTGTCCAACCTCAGAGAGCCCCTGGCCTTCACCTCACTCCCACTGCTCCCCTCCCCGCGCGGGCCTCTCCTCTTCCCTCCTCTTCCTCCACTACCCACGGGTCTTCCCGGCTCCCCTCTTCCTAACCGCACAAAGCACCCTCCTCCCCTTCCCGCCCTCAGCTTTTGCACCAGTTAATTTATCACTCACTCCCGACCTCTTCTAAGTCCTTGTTTACAAGTCTCTCTCTCGGAAGGGGCAGTCAGTTCCGGGAGGGGAGAGCCCACAACCGGGCCTCAGGCTCCTGTCCCTGCCGCCCAGGGCCTGTCCCAGGGGGCTGCCTGGTCAGGAATCGGATTCCGCCGGAGCGAAGAGGAGCGGCATCGCGTCCCTCCTCCTTCCCACCCCAGCAGCTGTGGCCGCTAGACCCGGCCCGGGTGCCTCTGGGTGGGCTGTGCGGGCGAGGCAGGGAGCGCGAGGGAGATGTGGAGCCAAGAAGCCCTGGTTCTGAATCTCCATTCCTTCTCTTAGCCGGCCGCACGGTCAGGTCCTTCGCCTCCGAATGGCAGTCACCTCGTCGGTAAAACGGGCGGAGCGATGTCTACCCTGCCCGGCGTGGCGGGGTCTGAGACCTGCTGCCAAGTCGCGGAACCTCTCCTGTCGGCTCAGCCCGTCGGCGGGGTGTCTCCGCGTAAAGATCGCGCGCGGGTGGCGGTCCCGCCACCTGCTGGCTCCCCTGGGAGCCCCCGCCCAGGGAGGGCAGGAATGGGGGTTCTCCGCCACACACGCAGGGCGCCACAGTCAGAAGGAAACAAGACTAGGGGGCGGCCCGCTCCCCGCACAGACCCTTTGCTCTGGGGCGTCCGCGCGCCCAGCGAGTCCCTCCCCGGCCCAGAGCCGCAGGCGCAGTCATGGGGAGTAGCGGGGGGGGGGGGGGGAGAGTCGGTCTCGCCCCGACCCAAGAAAGCCGGCTGCCCAGGGAGGCACCTCGGGTCCCGGGAGGCAAGCCTCACTCCGCAAGTGGGTTCTGTCCACCCTCCACCCCAGGCGCACCTCCTTTTTGAGAAGGAGGGACCTCTTCGCTGAGCCTCACCGACCGCGCTGGGGGCTCCAAGGAGAGGCAGAGAGAAGTTGGGGAGTCCCGCGGGCTGGCGGGGCTCGAGCAAAGCCGGAGCAGACAGCGCTTCCCGACTGCGGTCCGCGAGCCCGCAGCCTGGGGCGGCGCGGCGGACACCCCCAGCCCCTCGCGGTCCCCTCCCATCCCCCCCGCCCGGCCCCCCTGCCGACCACCCTCCCAGCCCCCTCCGGGCCCCCCTCCCGGTCCCCTCATGGCCCCCGCCCGGCCCCCCTGCCGACCGCCCTTCCGTCCCCGCCGTGCGCGGTGCTAAGCCCCTTGCACCCCGCCCCTGGCGGCCCCGGCCCCGGCGCCGGGCTCGGGCTACCTGCACCGCGATGGCGGTCATGCTGCCCCGGCCCCGCCGCGCTCCCTCCAGCGCTCGCCGCGCGCCCGCGCCCGTCCTGGGACCTCTTCCCGGGGCGGGGCGGGGCGGGGAGGCCGCGGGGCGGGCCGAGGGCGGGGATCAGGCACCTTTCAAAGCGGAGCAGCGAGCCCCGGGGCGGGCTCGGCCGCCTTCCCGCTCGGTTTACGCAGGGTCAGCGGGGCGCCCGACAGAGCCCCGGGGAGCCAGGGGAGGGCGGTGCCGGGAGAAGGCCGGGCGCCCGGGAAGGTGCGGCCCCCCCGCAGGGGCCTGCCCCCGGGTCCCGGGGAGGAGGACGGGGCCCTGGGGGAGGGCTGACCGCTGACGTCGGGCGGGGAGTCGCTGCCTCGCTTCCGAAGCTCGGGGACCAGGTCTCCGGACCGACTCCCCGGGGGCCTGAGGCGCCAGCGGGGGCCGGGGATTCGGTTCCCGCCCTGGCTCCCCAAGTCTGGAGGAGGAGGCAGGGAGAGGAGGCTCGAACCCGGGCTCTAGGGTCTTCACCGCCTGCTGTGTGACCTTGGGCTGACTGACTAACGTCTCTGAGCCTAGGTTATAAACGAGTTACTTTTGAAAGGCTGGCGACTGGCGAGGCCCTCGGTGAGCGTGAAAGCAGTGGAACCGTCTGGGTCGGTTTTCTCTTCCCGAAAGGGGGATGTACAGATCTGCACCCCTCTGGCCTCCTCAGGACCA